CACAAAAATAATATTATTTATAATACAGTTCTGTATGCCAATGTGACGACCTTTTGCTTTGTTTCGAATTTTTTTCACGCTCGATCTTGGTTTTTCTTGCCATTTTGTTTTATGGCACAGGTTTCTCTACATGCTGCTTGCACGCAAAGAAATGCAACCCTTGTCGCAAAGATAAACTATTGTAAAAGAAGTAAGTGAAGATTGAAGAAACACATGGGGATTATCCGGCAGTGAAAGAAATCTATTAAACATGTTTATGTACCTCAGCTTATCCGTTGCAGATAGTATTTCAACATAATGGTAACTTTGAATCAATGAACGAGACAACGATGTAGAATATAGATTATCCTCCCGTGGTAAAAAGCACGAGCCGGAAACTTGAGCAGCAGCGTATCAAAATTACAACACCGGAAGTTCTCAATATTTCACCGCGTGACTGTTACCTTCGAGGGAAACGTCCCCGTTGGAACACACTTCCGGTAAGTTCCCACTTTAGTCAGGGGCAATTTCGTAAAGCGTTCGGCCAAATATTTTATAAGAAAACGCGAGTCTCAAGGCTTTTAAAAGCATTTTGGGAACAGCTCGTTGTCTCGCTCCTCGGCGTAAAACAGTAAACTGTGAACTGTGCGCGCGATAAAAGTTGGAAAAGAACGGAGATCTTCCACTTCTGTCCAACCTTCTTTTTTTTCTATAATTTAAAACAGCAGGAACATATAGTACGCGTGATACAATCGAGCGGGAAATATATATATATATTCCACAGGCGGAAACGAATTGAAAATCTGGAAAACGAATTTTTTTTCCCTCCCCCCCCCTTCCTCCCTCCCGCTCCCGTTTGAAACTTCGTTTCCAAGGAAATCGAGTTTAAAAAAAAATATATATATATATATATGTCGATTCACTCGACGTGAAGCTGGCTAATTCCCGATTGGGTACGAACGGAACAAACGGCAAATGATTATTCCACGCGCGCGAAATAAATCGGAAATTTTGTTTTTCATTCGGTGCCTCGTTTTCATTCGATTTTTATAGAAATCAAATTTCTGGTACAAAAAAAAAAAAAAAAAAGAAAAAAAAGAAAATTCGTTCTGCGTTATTTGACTTACTCTCGCGTGTGTAATAATTCCTCGTCGGTTCCCTAAATACCTTCAAATTCTGTTCTCCCGTAGGAAAACGTAGCTTCCGGTACAAAAATTTCATTCTGTATTTTGCACATCCTTGGAAATACGATACGAATTTCTCACGTTTTTATTAAGAAACAAATACGAATGTCATCTGCTCTAATGAAATTCAATTGGACGAGTGATTATATTTCGTTTGAAATAAATCGTTGCTCGGTATGACAGCGTTTATGATCGTTTCTTGCCAACGTTTACCGATTTCTCGTCGGCGAAACAGCAGCTTTAACAACTTATCCAAATTGCAAATAGAGTTGAAACTACCACCGTGGATATAACATGCAGCAACAAATACCGATAGCACGTTAAATCGGTAGCTGTTATTTTCAAAGAATAAATAAGAAGTGGTATCGGTCGGTCTCTGAAGAGCAAGGAAGCCTTCCCTGCCATGTTCGTGTAGCCGTGGATCGCATCATAGTACATAATAACGTCAAATGAAAATAATTTATCGCCGGATAAATAATTCGTATTGATTTATTAAATTCATTATCCTCGTATCAATATTGAACTTAACGCGTTAACGTGAAATATTTGAAATGGTATTTGCTTTTAATTAAAAATTAAATGAAAATTGAAAGTTATACAGCGGCGAGTTGAATATTCGGCCTCGTTGCATTTCAAATTTATGCAATATCTGGTTTCAAGCTGATATTTCACGCTATTGTTCGCAACATGCAGATTCTTTGTCTCGCGGACGCTAACCGTGGGCTTCCATTTTATTCCGCGCGGCCACATATATATATATATATATATATGAAATTTCATATTTAGCTTATTTTGCCTAGCGAATCTTTCATCTCGTTTACAATACACGTGCGCGAAACTTTTCATCCCTTAATTCCGCAGACATACGTTCAAGAATCGTGATTTCTAGAAATTGCAAAAAATTTGCTTGACGTTTCGTACGAATTTATTTTTCTGTTGTCTGTGAAAATTGGCAACATATTTCTAAGCATATAACATATGTCACACCTACACATATTATTAGTCGAACAAATATTCTTCTCTTTCGATTCACGCGCTAAAGAGAACGATTCGCACGGCGACGAAAGGGCACTCAATATGATTAAATGCAAAGAGAGTGCCGGAGCGATCTGTTGCAGCGAACAATCTCAAGAGTGTGTGCACACCCGTAGTTTAAAACATTCCGCAAACGAGCAGAGCATATACATGTACATATATATATATATATATATATATCGCGTATACGTAATCTAATACAGCAACTTGATTACCTATCGCGCGGCAACGATTCGAGTAACAAGCAAGTTTTCAACTTTGGTCAATTAATTGTAACGGACTCGCGTTACAATTTTAATAAAGGGCTGTTCACCGACTATGTTAACGAGAGAGAGAGAGAGAGAATATTCTAGGTGAAATTTCAATATACCCCAGTTCGGATCTGCGATGTTCATCGTAGACGAAGATGTTTACACTTGGGAGTAATTGTAATCGTTAACGATGATTTGTTGCGAGGCGAGCGATTAATGAAAGATGAAGCGAGAACGTCGCTGTAATTAACCGTACGATCGATTCGAAAATCGGCGGTGAATTCAGTGCAACGTGGCCCCGTTTATCGCCGGCGCGGTTTATCATCATTCGCCAAATGAGTGCCCGCCGATACGTTTGCAATGAAGATAATGCCTCTGGAGTATTTCTTTTATTTGACACGAATTTGAACGACGTTTGCAGTGTGTCTGATGATTATCTGACGAAACTGGAATTGATATGCGAAACGTATGAATGTATCAATGACAAAAGTTGTCCTGTGATGTAACTTTGTTAAAAAAATAAATAATCTGCTTGGTCTTATTTGAAAATGTGAAACCTGTACTTTTCACAACTCTACGTTGGTTTTCTTTTCTCTTTCTAATTGTAACCTAAACCTTTTTTTTTTTACGTGGAGAAAATCTTCATAAGACACCTGAGTCTTTTAAGGGAAGACCCAGGTAGTGTCGGATTCTTACCGACTAAAATGGCCGTCCTTCGCACTTTCGGAGAGCTCCGGGACCTTTTTATACACACAGAGCTCTCCTGTACTGTTGTCCTAAAGGACAATGTGTTTTTTTTTTTTTTCGCCCAAACAGGGGGCTCGAATTAAGAGGGACCCTCAAATTAAGAGTCTGATGCTCTACCGACTGAACTATCCCAACCTAATTGTAACCTAAATCTAACCTAAACCTAACCTAATCCTAAACCTAACCTAATGTCAATCTATTGTAAGATGTTTTTACACCACGTGAGCGAGTGAAGAAGCAAGGATACTTTCATTCTGGAAAATTGTAAAAATTCAGATTAAAAGGTTCTTTTTGTCTTTTGACTAAATTTGTCATGTCCGTCGAGATTGAAATGTCCTCTTTGTAACAAAGAATTGAAATTGAAGATCACGACGAAATGTTAGGATGTTTTTGAATTTTGGTAGAACTCGTAGAAGTTTTAACAGATCGTTGTAAAGACGAGACTTCAATTTTCAAAGTTATAGCGAACCACTTAACGAAAAAGACTTCTCAGTGAACTTCAGCCTGAATTTTCACAATTTTCGCGAGAAGGAAGTGTCTTTATTTTCTCATCCATTACACAGTGCAAAGTCATCCTTAGAAAGAACGACCTCGCAATTGCAGAAGCCAAATGTATCGTACCGTGATTTCTTTCTTTCACGAAGGTCCAATTTTTTTTCAAAGAAGTTTCAACATTTTCTACGAAATATGATTTGAATTATCGACAATTTTTCATTGTCATTGGTACGTTCTTCACGATGAGACAAGGCGTTCTTTCACTTCCTTGACCCTGCGTTCCTCCATGTACGTCGGAACTCGGAAACTTCTTCATTCCTCGTACGAGAAACGAAGATTCTAATTACCCCTTGTTCAAGAGTAGCTCGTTCAAAGCGTTCGATATTAGCTCATATGAAAGTTGACGGTAATCCAGCCCCTTTTTCACGAAGTAGGCCACGTTCAAGTACTGATCTCCGTACAGGGGTACCCCGCAATAAACTGCCTCTTGACCCCCCCCCCCCC